TAAAATTTTGATTTTTTTTTCCATCTTAATCTTCCTTTGATGTCGTTTCCTTTAAAAAAAAAAACAAACAGAAAGAATCCCTACAGTATTTTATCCTATTTAAATGAGAAAAGTTCAAGTTTTGTTTGATATACTAGTAGCTGACTATATGCTGGCAGTTTTCTTAATTCGGAATTTTAATCTGTGCCTGGGCTTCAATTCCTCTGATAAATCAGAGGCCACTGTAGAAGCATATTTCATGCTTTGACACTTTTCTGATTAAATGCAATAGTGAAATACATTTTCACTGCAAAACTATACTGTGGAATTACTTTACTAATGGCTGCAGCAATTAAGTTTTCAGAAATACAAACAAAACATGTAGTTTCCCCCATGCCTTTAAATAGTCTGGGGTAGGGCATGTCTTTCAGGGTAAGTTGCCCTCTAAGAAGGGAGGACTGGCACCGATGACGTTTCCTGATGCCATTAACTTTAACAGTCAAAGCAGATGAAATTGTAACAACAATGAATGCATGACAGAGCTTCATTTAGTCTACGATTTGCCCACATTTCTGTAGGTTTGGCAGGTGTTTAACCAGTACACTCCCCAATATACATATTATCCATAACAGTACTTGCAAGGACACAAGCCTATCTGTGATCTTCTCTTCCGTGGCAGGTACACATACACAATGCAATGTAGAGGCCAGGAAGAAGAGACAACACTGTCTTCCAGAAACTACAAGTAAAACCATAATCGCTGATTTTCAGCATACTTGTGCTGTCTAGCATATGCATGAGAAACCCATGGCACGTTGCATCTCTCTCAACAGCTGGTTCACATACACATAGACAGTTAGTTCCTCATTGAGTTTTCTGAAGTGAGAGAGCTCTTCTGCATCTTTAAAAAGGTTCTCACTTACACTGCCTGGGGAAAAAGGAATCTCCACCCCATGAAAAATATTATGTTCCTGGAAACAAATACATCATGACCTGGGAAAGTTAAAATCCCATTCCCTTCTTCCCCCCAGGGCTGAAGTGTTCTCCTGTCTAGGCTTGCTGACCCTGTCTCTTTGCCGGGCTGTCTATCCCGCTGTGCTCAGGATACCTCCTTCTCAGTGAATTTCCAGCATGTATCTGAAGAGAGGGAGTAGCAGAATCCGCCCTCAGTGCAATTTCAGCTCAACGTATTCCCCAATCTGCCACCTTTCATTATCAAACTGAATAAATTTCACAAATGGATTTTCCTTAAATGGTCAGAATCAATAAAAGATAGAAGAATCTTCTTCATAATTGGTTTTGTTGATTTGAAGAGCAAAAGTATTTAGCATTTTTGCTTTTTCATCACAAATATTTTCTACCAGCAAATGTTTTAATACCTTTAATTAAAAGTGCCACTTCTGAAGAAGATTTAAAACAGTGATGCAGAGGTAAGAAAGTATCATACAAACCAACACTGAATAGAAACACAGTTTTTCTCTATTAAAGCTTTTAAAAATAAATCTTCCATAGACTGTCCAGTGCAATGTAAAAAAAATGCATCATTATACACATATATCATAAAACAACACTCATCTTTCATCAACTGCACAAAGTAATTTACTTTCCATTACTCAAGCACAAGAATAAGATTCTTTTCAGTTTTTTTGCTGAAAGGATAATACAAAGGGATCTTTCTGCCCATGAATGCACTTGGGTGTGGCACCCGCTGATGTTATCCAGCGCCTGCTGCCTCTGGAGATAAAAACCAGTCCCAATACTGAATGAGAACGCAATATTTAATGCCTTGTTGTTGGAAGCTGGACGGACATAGAGGCATCAGCAAACATGTTCCTGCTCTGCATATAAAATGATGGATGTGTATTTACACAACCTTCAATTGCACGCTGCATAGCTAATGCAGGCATTAACTAGCAACATGTATTTTTAAATAATAACACATACCTGAAGCAAATTGATGTGCATGAAATACATACATTATAGAGCCCCTGAAGATTATTTTTCTCAAGTCAAATAATTCTCTTACAAGTTCCCCAATGAGCATTTCAGACAGATATCTAAAGAAAAAAATATAGCCGATACTTGCATCTATTTAATAAAATACAAATTTCTACCATAAATTAACATTATGATTGCCTATACAGTCAGTCATTTATAACTCTAAAAATATGCAATGTGCTGACTTTTAGAACTATTTTCTCTAATATCAGCACGTATTATTTTTCCTACAAAATTACTATTTAACATTGGCCTAAAGTAAAATGTGATCAGAAACATAGATGTTTTACATACATAAAAAGCAGCAAAGGGCACAGTCACTCTTAAATTCTCTATTTCCTCATCCAAGTGCCTACTTGTGCAGCTTTTGTGCAGCATCCACATTGCATCAACAGCTTTTTTGTATTTATTTTTCAGAAACAATAGTCCTAAATTCTGTACCAACAAAGATACTGATCTATCAAGGCCGACTAGAATTGATCCTTAGTATCCCGCCCTATTGGATTTATTTTTTAACATAATAAATTAAAAAAAAACCTTCAGCAACACCCAGTCCTTTCATAAGGCCATCTTGCTTTCTTTGTTGTTTATTTTAAAAAGGAGAAAATTAAAATCAAGTAAACTATTTTGGGCGCTTCAGTAGAATGTTTCCTTTTTTTTTTTTTAACTTAAACTCAAAGCAATTCTTAGAAATTTCACCAAATTTAAATTATGAACAGATTTCTTAACTTCTCAGTGTGTTGAACTGAATAAAATTGTTTCAGTCCAACCAAGAACAACACACCCAGAGAGTCAAGCTCTTCTGGAAGTAGCAGAGACCCTCAGCCCATTTCCTGGGTCTTAAACGAACATAAGAACCCTATAGATCATATAACAAAAATATGATGTTTAATGATGAAAAATTTTGAACAATCTTAATTATGTTTGTTACTATATATGACACCAAGATTAATGCTACAGACACGTTACCTAGGGATGATCTTTGAATAAAGGAAAAAATTTCTTCAGGACATCTCCAGCCACTTGGCCTGCTGGACTGCGCGGCAGTGGCCATCAGAACATGGAGCCTGAAAAATCTTGATTTATACAGCAAGAACTGTTTTGCATTGGCAAGGAAAAAGCGCTTCCGTCCAACTTTTAAAACTGTGCAATTGCCTGTCATCAAATCACAGGGTGATTTTAAGACATATTTATATATTCTAAAAATATTGTGTTGCCAGTTTAGAACGTGATCAAAACTACAAACATTTCAAAAGCAGTATTTTCAATCACTAGTTTAAACACATTTAGTGACTTAAAATAGCTAATACTTAAGCCAATATCTAGCTAACAAGAAAAAATTTCCCAATTTCTTGGGCTATTTGAACTTTTCTGAGATCAGTTTTGAATCTATTTTTAAGAGTAAGTTTTAATGATCGCTCCTCTCTGAAAAATATTTGGACAATTTATGGTAATTTTTAATCAACTCATTTAAGAAGAGAAAAAGCCACTGGAGAAAATCAGAATGAACTGTCCTGTTCATGATATCAGTATACTCACAAATGAATAATATTTGGACAATTTATGGTAATTTTTAATCAACTCATTTAAGAAGAGAAAAAGCCACTGGAGAAAATCAGAATGAACTGTCCTGTTCATGATATGAGTATACCTACAAAAGAATGAGATCATTTGGTTTAAAAAAAAAAAACAACAAAAAAAAGAAATGCAATTCTTCAACCTTGCGAGGTCAGATCTCTAGCTACGCTGTAATATATAAGGGCTGTCAGAGCAAGTCCGTGAAAAAGGCGGGGAGATGGGAGAAAATACAGTCAGGCAAATAGAAATATCTGAAATTTGTTAGGATTTAAAGTCATATCAAAGCCATCCTGAGAGACGCTACATAACATCAGTGCCTGCTGGCCTCCACAATCGGGGGTTTGCGCTCCAAACAACATAAGCTAAAATATTAACAAAGTAGCCAACATACACAGTGTAAATGTGACCTATTACAGACTGTATTTAGGTCGGTCCGCCAAAGTCCAGGAACGGACCATACTGTGCTACAAGGGGTGAGAGTTCAGACAAGCAGCTTACGTATGCTGGTCTGCAGCACAGGACTGACAAAGAGGGGTTTTAGTACATCTTGCAGTAACTAAACTCGTCAAATTTGCTGCTATTCATCTAATTGACAAACAGTCTTCTAAACTGAGCCAAAGCCAAACTAGGCAAATAAACCACATTAAACCCCGACTATTGTTAGGAAAAGCAGAATCTTGGCCCAAACTTTTCAGATGTGGGTGTTTAAACTTGATAAAAGTGATATCTGGAGTTCTGGGATATCCAAAAGAGTCTTCTGCTAACCAAGAGTAGACCTCTCCTTATTTACACCAAATGCCAATTTACAATTTTTATGATACAGTAACTGCTTGACCGTAACTGCAATTTAAAATTCATGGTATTATCAACACCTTAAATAATATCACAAGGATGAAGATTCAGGAGCTGAGATGAGCAGCTGAGGTGGGACTCTACTGAAAGCAGACTATCCTCTTGAGGGAGGAGGAAAAAAGAATTCCGATTTAGCAGCCGAAACAGGTCATGATCTTTAGACAGAAATTTTGCATAATTCCACGTTATTTTATAATCTGAGGGTGAGGCAATGTTTTACCAAAAAGAAAGACACAATTTAAAAATTATTTTCCATTATTTCCAATAGATCTGACAGCTCTGATCAAAACAGAAAAAACATCTCTCACATAAGTACTCTATGAAAACCATAACTAAAGATAAGCTTAAATATATCTGTTGATCAAGACAAGACACTCCATGTTAATAATGCATAGCGAAAAATAGTTTAAAACCAGTTTCCATTAAGATACCTGTTGGCACATGGTCCATCAAAGTTCCCTTTTATCTCACCTCATAAAGTGATTGTCTACAGACACTTCTTTTCTCTGTTCAAGAAACATGTCAAGCATATGTGAATTTTCACCATAAAATAGTGAACTATCATAACAAAGTTCACTGTGCTGCCTAATCACTAGTGGTTTCTTTTAAATATTGCAGGCCGTTTGAAGTTATTTTCATTAACATATCCAGGGACTTCATGATGTGTACTTGTCTTCCCACTGTTTTCTTAAATTCTTACGTAATTTGAGAAGTAGCAGTGATTTCACCTTGCACATCTGAAGCAATCTTCTTATAGCTTCTTACAAGCCCACAGAAGGGCGAACCCTCTCAAGTAGATGTAATGGGAGGATGCTGCATCAGGACAACATAACCATCATGACTGATGCAAGCAATGCAGTGTTGACTGTCCGCCTGCTGCCATCTGACGTTCTCCGTGCATGCAATACAGCAAACACTGCATTTGTGCGATTGGTTGGTATTTCTACATTGCAAATCATACCTTCACAGCAAGAAACGCATTCCTGTTGAGAAAAAACAGATCACTGGACATAGGCTAATTCAGCAGTGGCTTTTTGAGCTACGTGTTCTTCCAACTGATTGCAAAGGTTACAACTAAATAGACTAATCATTTCCATCTGGCAGCCCCTGACCCAAATCACTAGATGCAGCCTATCAGTTACAATGCCTCTTCCAAAATCATACACTACGGTGTTCTGACAGTAGCTCATCACCCAGTGTGGTCACTGGGCTTCAAAACTGGGAGGTGACATGGCACATAATAGAAAACGGAAAACAGAGAAAGCTTTCCACGACATTCGCCTTCTAACACATTAACTACAAACACATGTTTGAATGGTCTGACTTTCAACTTTTTAAGCTAAGATATTCTGACAGAGGTAAAACCTCTGTTCCCATTTACTTTTCCCTTCGGGCTTTTGCATTCAGTGTAGCCTTGCATGCTTAACCTCAGACCCTTTTTTTCAGTTTTCCAATGCCACAGAGCCACTGACAAAGCTGATTTTCAGGAGGGAATCTAAAAGTAATTTTCTTTACTTAATATTCCTTACTAGAAAAGCCAAGAGAATGTCATTTTTCATCTTAAACAAAGGAACAAAAGTTCTTATGAGATAAAATGAAGCAGAAGACAAATGCTGCATCATCATTTCCTACCCGCAATCCATCAAAACCTGTTGAAATCAATGACAGTCTGCACAGATAACATACAATCCTTTTAGATTTAATGTGTGCCGCCTGCTTCTTCTTAGGTGTCTGACATCTTTCGTGTTAAAAATAATTCCAACTCAAAGACTTCAGGAAAACACCGATATTTAAAAATTCTCTCAGTGCTATGCAACATTCCAGAACTACTCTATACAATCTCTTTGAAAAAACATAAAAAGCTTAAACTGCATTAATCCCCCAAATATCTTAGCAGTGTATTTTAAAATTAAAAAGAATTTAAATGGCTTAGGATAGAAAAAGTGGCTTATGTGTATTTCCACAGTTGTGAAATATTTTAGGAAAAAGATCAAAATATATCAATTTATCAAAATAGAATTTTTCACAGAGCATATTAGTTTCACTGAAATTCTCTCAAGGTAAGGACAGAACTTCTAGAGAAAGCTCAAGAGTTTTGCAAAGTGAGAATGGGAAGACAGTAGGACCTGTGAGACTCGTGATCAGAACCTCCCTTACAAAATGAGATAGCCAGGTTACAGCCCTTACTCACAGAGATCATCATATAAACAATACGGAACTGCTCCAACAAGACCAGTTGAGATCAAGATTTATATGACTTCCTTATATGCCAAAGAAATAGCACCAGGATGCTGCCTGGCTGCTAGTGGCACCGCTTTGTTTTTTTTCTAGAAACTTTCCAATAAGGTTGGTTTCGTAGGTCAGTAAATTGAGAGGTTTTTTTAATTTTTCAGAAGGTTTAAGGCTACAGAAAACCACTTTTTACCTAGCTCTAGATTGTTGCCAACTAGTTCTTGTGAACCATCGTTTTCTTTATAGTATTTTATGAATTTCTATTTGGAAATTGTTCTCTGATAAATGGCATAATGAATTTGGCTTCCATCTTCCATAGTTTATTTGGCACGGTTCTTTGTATTGTATACTTTCCCTTTTGCACAGCAGTTCTCTTTTGGCACTGCTACAGAATGAAGCAGAGTATGCTTCAAGCCTCCTGCTACTTTTATTCTCTTTTTATGACGTACCACTATGGAAACCAATTCTCTGATTAAGATAGCCAAGTATGGCTACCTACAGCCACCAAAGTCTTTTTAGAGCCAGAGGCACAAAAGGAAACTCTGCTGTTCCTACAAGTGGGCTACCCGATTATGGAGACAACTCATCTGCAGTGTGAATTCCAGTATTTCAGCAGGTAGGCCAACAGACAGTGGGCAGATTTATTTTTAAAAGCTTTAAGCACTAACTAATCTTCTCAACTGTTAAGGAATTAGCTTTACTATGGTGGGATGGGATGTGTTTGCTCATTAACCAGAAACTTTTGCATAGCAACCCAGGGCTGTATGTGCAAATCTCACCTGAGAGGGCACGAGTCCTAGTTTTTTGTCATGGAATAAAGTAACTCAACAGTATGTTGCTCAAGAATATGACCTTCATGGATAATTACAGGCTTGCTTCATGTACTGTGTAATGTTCTCCAAGCTATGTTATCTAGAGACATGACTGGAGTACTTCACTCCTCGACTGGTTTGCCCAAGCACTGACTGATGCAGCTGCAGCACCACAAGCACCAGTGGCACTCAGAAGCCGAAGCTTATGCATCAGATACACACTAGCAATGTCCCTGAAAGCTCAGGTGTTTCTTTACAAGCTGCCGTTACATCATTGACTCTACCACAGCAATACAAACAGGAAAGTAGGAAGAAAGGGGTAGCCATGCTTCCATTGGAGAAATTTGATTTCTATGATTAATTACTGGACAGTATCTCTTGGCACATCCTCTTCAGCTCAGCAGGAGTTCCAACCATATGAAAAACAAATACTGAAATGGAACACCTTAAAACTAATGTGTTTCTCTTATGTAAATAATGCAAAATACTAATGCTTACTCTGTGACTACTTTCCTCGTGATGGTGACAGCCTACAAAATGGCATTCATCTCCAGTAGCACATTTTTTGGTGACTGATATACTCTTCCCATGGTCTGTGAAGAGATGAATGGTCAAACAGTACCGAGTACCTATGAAATAAATCAAAAAAAGATTTATTTTCATAAAATATGAGTTCTTTTACTGAGTTCAAAAATTTCATACAATTTAGCAAAATATTCTCAAAAAAGTATGATTTGTCTGGGCTGTATAATGCTGGTTTTGAACTTGTTCAAAATCCTATTCGTTAGGTATTTAATCAGAGGTGAAATTTTAGGCTAATTGCCCCTTCAAACCACCAGAAAGGCTGCTGACATTTAAACTACTTACTAGCACCACAATCTACAGCTCTTTCACTCTCTCCCTCTCTTTTTTGAACCACCTTCTTGTTTTCTACATTTCAGATATATTTCCTCATTCCTCTAGTTCATTTCTTCCCCTTTCCCACTGTTCTCAATTTGAGTATCATTGCAAAGAAAAATGAGCAAACGTATTTCTACTCCTTTCTATGTACCCATCTTTCTCTCACACAAGGACGATCCATAGTCGCTATAAGCCTTGCTGCTCATAAGCAAGATTGTAACCTACATGGACTGTTATCCCCTGGGATGGTAGTCAGGAGGAGGGGGATAAGGGCATGAAGGTGGTTCTTAAGTTTGTCAAGAAATTCCTCAAAATCACTGGCTAGAAGGCAAAGCTGTATCAACAATAATTATCTCAGTTCCTATGTTAACTCTGAAAGAGATACCAGGCTTTTTGATAGATTAGATTTCATTAACATTATGATGATCTGATGCAAAACTGAAGAAACAAATATTCCAAAAAAGCATGAGATCAGCAAAAGATTTCAGTCGTGGAACCCTTGCTCAAGAATGCAAATTTTCAGCCCTGTCCTAGTCTCAAGCAAGTTATTTATGGTATTGAGAGGAAATACAAAGCAGTGTAACACAGGAATGTGAGCATGAGAACATTAGAAACTGTGAAGGCAATCTCATAAAAAACAGATTATGTTTCCTCACTAAAGCAAGTAAAATATCTAGCAGATAGGGCAAATGCATATATATATTTGCACAGTTGTAATCACACTTGTTGGAATAACTTCACTTATAGATACATAAAGAGACAACAAAATTAGAAGCTAAATGTGAGAAGGAGTCGTGTTTTGATTGTTGCCTGAGTTCAGCTTCTATATTCTAGTTACTGCATGGATGTCACTAGATGGCTTTTAAAGTTTTATACACACAAATATATATCTAGATCAATAGATATATGAACATCAAAAAATTGCACTGTTGCTCTGCACACTGAAATAATCAGAATATTCACCTCAGCAGAAATCATATGACTCACTAATTATAAAACTAAGAGCATCAGTGTGCTGGTATGTTAATCCTACTCAGAGTTCTATAAGACGACTGAGTCAGAGAGAAACAAGGATTAACTCTCAAAAAGAACCTCCTTAGTACAGACACACTTACCTTCAGGACACCATCTATCTTCAGCCCATCTGTTACAGTTGTAATTGTCCACTGCATTATCACAGGTAAAGCACTTAAAACTGTTTGGAAAGGGAGTAGCTTTAAAAGAATTAAAATACAGTAAGTTTGCAAGTATAAAAAATTCAAATATCCTAAATAATATTGTAGTGCTCACACACACATATACTTACAAAAACATATGACATGCATGTATGTATTTTCAGTGATACATCACTGTTCAATAAATAAAAGCTATGACATAAGTTTTGTAGAAAGCTTTTATATTTCAAACTATTTTTGCTACACCTGAACTTCAAAACATCTCTTCTTTTCATTCTCTCACAACCCGAAATACTATTTAAGTATTGGTGGGAAAGTAAGGAAAGAGAAAACATCTTATACATATGTACACAATAATACATCCGCATGTATGTCTGCACAGTAAACAAACACAATCTACATTCAAATGGCTTTTGACTCCTTTCATGAAACAACTACATCTTCAAAAACAGCTTCAGGTCTTGATTGCCAGCTTTAAAAAAGAAGTTACTGACAAAGGGATCAAGAAGCCTATTGTGAAAGCTTATTTACATTATATGCATATATAAATGGTTTTAAGATGCACAGTCCCCAGATTCACTTATACACCTATTATATCGAGCTGTCCTGACTGTTCTAATCATATAGCAAGAAAATCTTCTCCACTTCAATGAAGAGAGAGAATACTTCAGATACGAGATAAGAGGCAAAAATATGATGCTATTAGTGACAACTGACTTCACAGGTCTCACAGGGTTTTTAATTACCTTCAGTTTGAATTAACTGCATACAGCACACCTATTCTTTCCCCTACAAAAACTCCAACAAGATAAAAGACAAAAACATCTGTTCTGTATTACTCATAAGAAATCCACTGCATAATGTGCTCTGTAGGAAGTCATTTCACAGACAGAAAAGCACAATAAAAGCATTCTAAATGTGAAAACTAACGTACTGATGCACTCTCTAATTCAGCAATGCATGCAATTGTTTGTTTTCATTTAGTCAACTTATAAAAACTTAGAAATAAAATGAACCTCCAAGTGCTGAAAAGCAAAAGTCTTGTTTTAAATTTTGCATCCCTTATGTTCGAAAAAGCTCTACTACAAACCCCTAAAACCAAACTGATTGGAACAACAGGGCAATTGACTAAAATGTTATGCTACAATCGCTTACACAAGAAAAACATAACTGTCTACTTACGATCTAGTGGAGGTCTCACGTTATAAAAGTTGATGTTCTCAGATGAAACCCAGTTCCCTGAAAGGATGAAGAACTGAAGAAAGGCTCCGACCAGCATGTGATAGATTAACAGCATGCTGGATATTACCGTACAGATGCAAAACTCGTAGGCCTAGGAAGGAAAGGGAATACATTATTAAGGGGGAACCACAGAGAACTGAGCATGCGGAACAATACACTTCCTATGAACTTCTGAAACCTGGAAAATTCAGTCCCTAGATCTACACTGCGGAGATCGTTATTGCCTATCTCATTAACAATGATGAACCATTCAAAGCTGAGCACTTACTGCCTTCTGCTGGCCAAGATCCTGTACAAAGCAGCTGAACTTCCATAAATACCAAAATTAACGTAATTTCTTTAATCTATTTGTCCTTCTAAGCAATGTCAATCTTACAGATTGCTTGTAAGCATTTACGATAATCAACACCAAAACACAGCTCCTTTACTTCCTACCTGAAACACAGATAGACAGGATTACAATACCGTTAAAGTAAAAATGCAGACAAGTGTCATTTTTAACACTAACAACTGAAGAAACTGAAGACCAATTCCTTAAGTGATATAGAGCAATGTATGTCCGTTGACTTCAGACAAGCTACTACATCACCTAAATCATAACTGCACTTTTCAGTGGCTTGGCATTAAAGATCATGAGTTTAAATTAGATTTTTTAAAAAAGGTGTATACCAAAGAAAGGCCAGAGAAGATGCTTGGTCACGATGCACACACTGTTGAGTGCTGAGAAGTAAAACATTTAGAGAGATGAGAGACACATTTTGGTATACTCCGCGCATTTCTCTAGGGCCCTCTGAAGTAAAGTTTTATAGGGAAGAACTAATTCATTAGCTTTCTGGTTAGTTCTGCTATTTAGAGGTACACACATACACACATGTATATATGGCAAAGTGCAGTGATACCAGACCTAGCTCTGACATTTTACAAGTAAGAGCATATTAAATGACGCTCCACCCATGCAAATTCCCAGCAGCAGAAACAAGCTAGAGTGGAGACCCATGTTCAACCAGATACGTTACTTTGAGGTGCCAAGTTAATTCACTTGGCATTCAGAAGTCTCTCTGCAGCCACCTGCACGGGGCTACGCAGATGTAAGCTATGCGTGCTTGGAAAGCTCTGAATATATGCAAACACTGAACTGAAAATGGTTTCCCAAAACAAGAGTAGAAAAATCAGAGGACTTCCTTCTTTTTCCTCTTTTTCAATAAAGAGGGAGAAGAATTATTTGAAAAGACTTTTTTGCCAACAAACCAATCAACAGAAAATTTAACTTCATGCATTGGGAGGTTAGCAATCCTAATTAGGATTTCTCTTCTAAATCATGCTTTTTTGAATGTATTGCAGTAGGTGTGAGAATGTCACAGCATACCTCTACTTACAGTGCACCTCCAAGACTATTCTCTTTAGACGTCCCAGATTTCTTCTGACTGTAGTCCAGGATCTAAAGAAGGATTAAGAAAAAGAATAAGGAGAAAACAAACAGCAACTGATCATCATAATTCTGTGCTGCAGAAAACAATTAGCTCAAACAATGGATGTTCTTATCTATATTGAAAATAAAGATATAAAAATCAACCACACTTCTACCTTTCTAACAAAATATCAAAAAAGTACTGGAGCTATACAGTGCGGTTCTGCCCTTTTGAGTGCTGTCCTAATATAGATGTACAGATTACCCCCTTCCTGTGATACCCCAATGTCATGAAAGACTAATGACAGACAAAAAGGGAAGCGGTGAAACTACTCAGTCCTCCAATAAGGACAAATTTACTTCTTTTGCAAGGGCAAAAACATTATTCAGGAAATGACCTGAGGGAGACCAGATTATACCAGATGAACATGTATTTCTCACTCTGGAGATGTTTATCAGAACTATTAACACATACTATGATGAAAACAGAAGCTCTCATCAGCAGCAAGGTATTCTAAAAGAGTGAAGACTATTATCAGCCTCCAGATTAGAAATTAATAACAAGGTATGAGCTAAACAGATCCCCCACAGTTCATTCCTTACTGAAACAGGAAAATAAAAATGTTGGTCCAATCTCCAACACCACAACAAAATCCATACTAAATGGATACATTTATGGATACCTAATGGATACATGAATACATAGTAAAATATGGTTACAGTTCTTTCTAATTAAGCACGAGTGTTTACACAGTAATATTCTGCAGCATTAAATATAGATTGCTTATAAATCACTTGACTTGTCTCAGCCTAACATATACACCTAAGAAGCATTTCAAATGTGCTCTTAGTTTCAGTGGTTTTTTTAAATTTGTTGAGACACACAGAGGTATGCATCATGACCAGATGCTTTGCTGCTGACAAGCTGATCTATGCCATCTTCTATCACAGAGCTGTTGCACGGCCTCCAAAGACTACTCATGACCCTTTAATGTTTTCCAAGATAGATTAGCAGAATATGGCATTATCCATGATAGAAAAAAGGAAGGGAAAGAAAGGAAGACGCAGTGGAAGAAAAGACAGATGATGAATGATCCGGTACTATCGAACTTAATTTCTCCTTCTTTTAGCCTTCTCAGCTCTAACAGTTTATGTTAGAGACAACATCTCTCCCCTCAAGCTCCTATTTTACACAGAGTTTAATTTACACAAAGTTTAAAATAAACTAGTGCCTGAAAGCTATACCCTTTATCCTCTGTATCTACGATTCTTCAAATCAATTTTTGCTCCCAAAATGACCTTTTATCCCAGTATCAAGTGGTGACAGAACTTCCAAGTGACAAGTTTCTTCTTTCTTTGTGGACAATCATCCCGCATAATACCCCAGCTCACAGTTCTACATTAAGACATTTTGGATCGAGTTTTAATGCTCTGCTCAAGGAAAGGAACCACTACATGGTACCAAAACTCTTTAATACTTCTACTATTACTCTGGACGAATTGAAGAGTAAGGGTCAAAGTAACTGCAGAATGTCATAGGTACTGGAAACAAAACAACATTACTATGTTTCCTGTAAAACTACACTTTTCACAAAAAGAGCCACCTAAAAACATCCTAACGACTAAAGACGCATAAAGGCTCACTTAAGAGCTCTTCCTCTCCCACCCAGATGCGAATTCTCATATAGTGATTTAAAAAACATTCAGAATTCTCATATAGTGAATTATCCCACCAGCTTGCAGAAGGGGATTAAAGCTATATTAATATATAGTTTTATATATTAATAATTATATATATAATAATTATTATTATATTATATGTTATATTATATATAATATAAATAATTGTTCTGTATGGAGCCCTGTTTTCCTACCTCCCTCTGCCCCCAGCCATTTCACTTGGAGGAAGACAGGTGACAGAGGACGGCAGAGTCATTAACGCGGCACTGAAATAAGACTGCTCTTAAGCTACTGCTACCTGTGCCAGGATAAATGGGCCACCAAGCCCTGGGAGAGAGTGACAAAGTTGTTGCTACCATCTCACTCTCTGTACGTTTTGCAAGGACAACAATAAAGGTCGGTATATACAGAATGAGTATTTTGCTCAAAAATAAGAATAGCTACATATTTGATCTTATTGTAAACAAAACAAGACAAAAAGGGACCTGCAGACGTTGATGCCATGTGGAGTTAAAAACAGAGCAACCAATACAACGCACGAAGGAAGGCGGTACAAACTTTTAGAGACACACGTTCCTGCTGCTAATTAGCTTGCTCGTCTGTCCCTTGAAAATTAGGGAGGATAGTTTTCATTCACTCCAATAGGGCAGTATTAGGCCCTTACTGCCCACAGGCTGCTATGAGCATTTTTGCCCACACTATGAGAAGAGTCTTTTTTGTGCCTTTAATGCCAGCGTCCTTCTTTATGGTTCCCCTGCAAAATAGCTCTGTTTATGCTCTTTGAAGACCACAAGAAAGTTGCTTTTAACCTGTCAAGCCAGTTTCAATCAAATGGTTGCAAATTTCAGTGCCTCTTAGGCAGCTCAACAGCAGTTAATTCGTTCATATTTACTCTATAGGAAGACGGGGTAATGAATCATTTCAATGCACAACAGTTGCAAAATTTATTTCCTTAACATATACTTTTTGTAATTTCTACAATAGATTGAAAAAAATTTGCCTTTTCAGGGAGACTGGTCTGTAACTTGATCTGATGCACCTGGAGAGCAAATAAAAGGCACAAATACACTCGTGCCAGCTTTCTGCCACTGCAAGCTCTCTCCTGCTCCCCTCCCCCAAGTTCCTACTGCTTTCCCCAGAGAAGCTCATGCCAAATGGAAAATTTTAGAGAATATAAATACAAAAGAGGCAGTCCTCAGGTGGTGTAAAGCAGTCAATTGACCTCACAATTTACTGTAGTCAAAGGCGTCCTTGTTTAATAACAAGGCCAATAAATAATGAATGCTGTTTGACGCAGTCTTACTTACACAGCTGCACTAGAAGTCATTTTCAAATACAATAGCAAAATATTGAAATAGCAAAAAAAGGGCTTTCATATCTTACCCAAAAATCTTTAAAATGCATATTTTCTTCATAGTTTCTTACCCCTATTGTGTTTTCATAAAAAACTATCCAGTGGCCTGAGAAAACATTTAATTATGAACAATTAGGAACTCTCATTAGTGAAAGAAAAAACTGTCCCAATACAGAAGATTACCTTACTGCAAGAGAACAACAAGAGAAAACATGGAGACGTAGCTTGCATGGGGCGAGGGAAAAAGCCCCAAGAGGGAAGGACTGTTGATGTATGCTCTATAAATAACTTGTGACAAAGAGACACTTTGAGAAAGTCTTGAGGAAGATAATGACTGAAACAATTAATATATTGCAGACGTTTTACACTATTTTGCAGCATGTAATTGGAGAGACGGAAGCAGTGTGCTTGATTTCTGATTTTAATAAAATCCAAGTCTGTCTACGTTGTTTTTCCTGGCAGACTCCGTGGAGGATTAGCAGATTTAACAGCAGATATGGAATGCAAATGAAACTTCCTCCTGTCATTTAGTAAGCAATTTCATGTGCTAGTAGATAATTGCAAATGCTTATATTAAGCTTATTAAATACCTCTTCAGGTCATAAGAGTTAGAAATACATAGGGGGAAAGGTATGTATGTTAAGGACTGAAAAAGCTATAACTAATACCTGACGCTCATCAGGTATTCCTCAAAACAGATCAGAAAGGCGCTGTGACATATCTAAGAAAAACAGCTCTTTGGCTTCCCCCTTTCCCTGTTTCTTAGACAAACGTTGCTATTCTCATGTTTTTCTCTAGAGACTTTTAATTTGATCTGTAAATCAACTCATAGAGTGAATAAATGGATGGAAAGGAGTAAGAGAAAAACTTTTCCTTTTTCTTGGGAAATAGGTAAAGAACACTTATAATTGAAGAGAAAATGTTTTGAAGGATTAAAAATAACAAATGCTACTACAGATTTCCAAAAAGTCAAATTATTTCTTATATAAGCTCTATCTTTTACCTATTAAGTTGCAATTTCTAGTTTCTGTTCTGATTTTTTCCCGATAACATATTACCATTAGTACCACGTAACATAGGAAAACAACTTTTACATTACAGTGACACATCTGCAACTAGTAAAACTGACAGAATAAAATTTAAACTATCAATATTTTTTTTAAATAGATTTCTTCATCTTTACCCATGTTACACTTAACCATGCCTGGAATTAAATTTGGTCATAATTGCAAGAAATTATAGGGTTCTTTATCTAAGAAAGTCTTATAAAAATAAAACACGTAGATATCTAGTAACGACATCACCATTTAGCTTGGGGGTATTACGCTGGCATGGGAAGTCATGATGCAAACCGATTGCAAGAGACAGGTAGGTGACTGAATACTGGCTATCCAATACGTACTACAGCAACAATTTTTGAAAGAATTAATGTATGAGTAATGTGATAAATCTGAGAAGTCCCATTAAAGTGATTTATTTGCAAGGATAAAGCATGTATTTGTTTTTAAGCTCACACAAAAGAAGATCCATGGAATGAAAACTGCATTACATGACTACATATCTCATTCCTTTTATAGTCAAAACTGCTCCACAAAGACTAGCCTTGAACACTGTAATCTATTTTTACCTTCAAAATCCCTGATCATCTTTGAAAAGTCATTTATTCTATCTAAAAATCCATTAATGAGAGATAAATTTCCTATTTCCCTCTGCAAGTATAGAATCTCCTCAAAGAATTGCACTCTGTCAACGCTATGGATGAACAAAAGATTTACACCGAAGTTTGTAACAACTTCTATACATCACATATGTAATGGTTTTAAATCCCTCTCCCCTATCTCTGCAAGACTGGAAATAGAAATTCATGAGAAAAGAGATCATAGGAATAAGCAGCACTTTTTCTTTCCTTGCCAAAAAATCAGATGAAAGGTTTATCTACACTTCTTTTAAAGCTGCTTCCATCTTATACATACTTATATATATACCTCTGTGTGTG